GTTATTCAACAGAACCTGTCTCTTCACTTCTTTTTGGTTCAGAGTTGGCTTGGCATCCTGACAATTCTCAAACATTAAAGCCCTTCGGCCACGAAGGCATTTAAGGTGAGGATCAATCCATTTTGAACAAGCAGCTTTCACCATTGCTCAACAATGCATTCATCTCTCAACTTCTTAGTGTCGGGGCAAGCGAACAATCTTTCTTTGGTGTCATAGTCTGCCCCAGATGCTGGTGATGGTGGGCCCCTGGTCTTTTGATGACCCTGACAGTGCTTGAGCGAGAAGAAGGGTTTGAACTGGCAGGCCACCATTATTCTCACCAGTACCTGCAGAATACAGAATATGAAGTAGGCAGCAGGTGCAGAAGAACAGAAAACCAATGAAGAAAATGCAGACACCAGGGAAATGGTTGAAGCTACATAAATACAGAACAAAAGGCGAAAAAAACACACAGATTAAATGTACATCTACAAAGTAGACTTGCATAAATAAATAAAACCAACCCTTATTATATGTCTAGTCATTTCAGAATAAAAATGCTATTGTGTAAAGCCATATAGATGACGTAAACAACACAACAGCCTTTTTCAGCATCAGCTATATATGGCATGCGCTTCATGAAAATGTAAGGCATTTTTCTAGCACAACAGTGCATCCTAAAACAATCTTAAAGGAGAAAAAAAGACATGGACTTATCACATTTGTATAAACAGCTTACAAATCCAGCTTTAAAAAAAACAATAATAATAATAATAGTTTTTGAGCTGAAAAGGCAAATAAGCTGAAAAACTAGAAAGTTTACGAAAACCAACTTTTGAAGTACAATTGTTTAAGCACTAAATTTCAAATTTTAAGCTAATAGGGTGTGTCTCGTGTTTTGAGTACTGGCAAGCTCTCTCAATACACATCCTTATGACCTTTACATATCCTCATTCAGACTTGGTGTTGCCACATTAGTATAAAATTTTGGCCAATCCACTTCTGATGATGAGTATAGTCAAATACATTCAATTCAAATGGTGTCTACAATAGCTCAAGTTGAATTTGGGTTGAGTTGGCCAGATGCCAACTTGCAATGTACCAATGTGACACGTGAAATTGCAGGGTTAAAGCATGTGATTCAGAAGTTGAACCCGTATTTCAGAAGTGAAACCCGTGATTTCAACGACGTTTATTTAACACCTTCTGTACACTACGCACAACAAAGAGCACTCTAATACATAGAGAAGGAAGAGTCACTATGTATACTAATAAAGAGGAGAGAGAAAGAGGCACAAGGTTGTTATGATGAGTTCAAGCTTGTGGGATGAGGAAGTGCCGGAGGGTCGTCCAGTGTCTAAAGAGGTTTAATTGATTGTGGAGGGTCGGAAATGAGGTGTGTTATGAGTTTATTCAATTTTAACTGATACTACCGGTCTCAATTTTTTTGCATAGAATTTGTGTATTGAGCACGAGGAGATGGATGGGCAATGGCTTGGTTGACTGACGTTTGCGTTGACTTGTACGTCTAGGATGCTTTCAAATGATAATCAAAATGGCAAGAAATGAAATTCAACAATGGATTTATGTCTACATATTCAATTTTGCATCAAAACTATGCAGACAGGACAAAAATTGAAAATACAAAGGAGGTGTTCCAGGTTGGAGAAAAATGGTTGACTTTAGACTTGATATATTTATGGGACTGCGCAGTTTTATTTTATTCATTTTTTGTCTTTTCACTTTGATAATACATTAATAGCCTTATACATAAATACCTAAGAAATTGGAAGATACTTTGAACAAAGAAACAAATGATCAGATTATTTGGACCAAAGGGAAAATGGATACAGAATATGAAAAACTATGGCATACGCTCTAGTGGATCAAGAAGTGGTCAAGGCTATGGAAAGCTACATATTTTTCAGAGTGAAATAGAATGATTGCCTTGCGTACGGTGAACATTTTGGTGAATCTGTGGCAATTCTGATGTTTTGTTGTCGGCAATAAGTGTATTCCAGCCTTCCAGGGTCTGGTAGGGTAGAAGGAAATGTGGGTGCACAGGTTGAGCAAGAGAGAAACAAAAGGATCTTGAAGAGAAAAGTTTGGTTTGTGTGTGCTGCTCTGTTCTTTGGAAAATTTAGATCTGGGATTGGTATAATGACTGAAGGAGAGGGTTCAAAATTTATATAATGAACAGCTAACCAATTAAACCCCTTTTGTACAGTAATATATATATGTTTTTTTGATAAATAATCAACTTTATTAGAAAGCATCACCCTTTTGTACAGTAATATTAACATTGTCCTGCAATTGCGTCATTCATGTTACCCAATATAAAATAGAGAGATAAGGGATACACACATATCATGCAAAGGAGCAGGATAGTTTGTGAAGTTCAACATAGGTACTATGAGGTATGTGAGAGATTTTACAACAAATGTTGCTAAAGATATGTACAAGAAAGAATAAATAAAAAGGAAAAATAAAAGAACAAGCAGTCCACATTTCCTCTCATATTCTTCGTATTTGTTTATTTCTTCTAACTCCATAGTTTTTTTGGAGAGAAGTTCCCTTCCCTCAATATCATGATTGGGTCGACCAGGCCACCAGATCATGAGTGAATAGAAAACCGAATATGTTCAATAGCAGTTTCTGTTCCAGCAATTCCTAAAGTTTTTCCTAGGTATAATGGAAATAGAAATCTATGTTTTTTAATTAATGCCCATATTTACCAAGAGAAAAAAAAAAAAAAAAAAAAAAATATATTCCTAGAAAAGCTCAGACATGGAATGAATGGGTAACAATCTACATGTGTTACTTACTCTAGTACCATAGTGTCTGATACATATATCATAGTGGGTCACTAAACAATGTAAAAAAAACATAAACATAATGTGGAATCGGACAATCGAAATTCATAGAAAAAATGCCCAGCCCAGAGCTTTGTCAATTCTTGGTAAAAAAGACACAAGAATTAGGTCTATTCAAGAATCCAATCAATTGGATCTTCAATTTACGAAGATGTTAAAAACATAAAAGACATCAAATAAAAGGAGAGAGCTAGAGAAGGAAAAAAGTAGAAACAATCAAAAATTACACACTGAAAAACTAAATGAAGAACAGTTTTGGTATGAATGATTGGGTTAATGGACTTACGGTCCGGGATAATGTCTCTGGCGATTTGTGGTCTTTGTAGAACAGTTTTCTCTGTATTTGATTGAAACAAAAAGAACGGAATTAAGACAAATTTAAAAAAAAAAAAAAAAAAAAATTTAAATCAGAATAAATGGACGAACTCGTTGACGGATAGAATTGAAACGAACCGAATGGTGAGCTGAGCTCCTTTCTGCCAATTGAAAAGAGGTCAAAGTTCTAAGAACGAACAAACTGCGGTGCGGCCAAATGTTGGGATAATATCAACCGTGCTGGGACCCCAGCACCCCCCCCAGTCCACATGGGGCATTGTGATTGGCAGATAGGCAAAAAAAAAAAAAAAAAAAAAAATTCCAGCCATAAGGAAACACTGGGGTCATGGGGTTTGAAAAATTGGGGGTCCAAATCATTTTTGGGGTAGAATACATTAGACATACAGGCATTTCAAAAATATATATAAATATAAAAACTTTGCTTCTTCTTATCAAGCGGGGATAGCTCAGTTGGAGAGTCAGACTGAAGATCTGAAGGTCACGTGTTCGATCCACGTTCACCGCATTTTTACCTTCTCTCACTTAATTTATTCTTTTGCCCAATAACAAATTCAAGTCCAAATAATGCCTTTATTTCTATTTACAAAAATAATATAATAATAATTATTATTTTTTAAGTTGACTGCTCTTATAAGAAACATGTGAAATGAAAGGTTGACTTTAACAAAATAATACAATATAAAAAATTTAAGATAAGCTTCAATCTTTAGTTTGATTTTATGCTTATGAAGAAAACTTAAATAATGAAAAAATAAAAAAAGAAAATAACATGACAAAAGCTACATGCCTTTGTTTGTTTGTTTCAATTGGAGAGGGACAATGAAATTAATAAAATTGGCAATCATGTACCAAATTTTATTTGTCGACAGACAAATTTAGAAAAGCAAAATATATACACGTATATATTATTATTATTTTTGTTTATATTATACTTAATATACAAATGATACAATTGTCTAGCAATTTCTTCAATATATTACATATCATGATTCATGTTAAGATAACTCAGGTAAGAGAGTTATGCTATTGATGATGATCTTATTGCATGATTTAGAGAGGACATGTGTAAGAATTTCATCA